GAGAAGAGGAACAGGAGGAGGATTTCACTATCGTGAGGAGGAGGAGGAGGAGTTGGCAGTCAGAACATCACTGGGCTTCTCTATGTCCTGGGCAGTGTCTCGGGACTTGATCCAATCTTGGAGGTTCTCACTGAGGGCTGGAGCAAGGCTCAGGTAGAAGAGCACTGACCTAGCAAATCCCGAGCTCTTCTAGAACATTCGCCAGGGTGCCTGCCCCCAGCTGCCTCCTGAGCGGCACATGTGGTGGGACCTGAGGGGCCCTAGGACCCCAGAACCCCCACTGGCCCTAGGGCGGGGCAGGAAGGCCAGGCGACCGTGGAGGCCCAGGGGCTGTCCAGAGGGGGAGGCAGCTGAATCTCCCAGGCTCCGGAGGCCTGGCTGGGCCCCAGGCTCAGATCTGAGCTGATCCCGATTCTTGGGTCCTCTGTTGGCCTTGGCTCCGGACCGAGGGAGAGCTCTGCTTCCGGGCGCCGCCCAAGGGTCTCCAGGCTTCAAATGTTTAAAACATCAGAAAAACAGATGCCTGGCGGGGCGGGGTGGGGCAGAGATGTTGGGGCCCTGCCGCGGCCTCCCTTCCTTCCCTGGCCTCTCATCTGCAGGAGGGAGCCAGTGATGACATGTCGGCCAGACGCCCCCCCCCCCAGCTGTCCTCTCAGACGACGCCCCGGGCACCTTGGCTGCAGAAGCACACACGCACACAATTGTCCCGGCCTCTTTGTTAAGGACTGCACGGCTGTCCTTGTAGAGGGCCGGCTGGCATCCTCTCTCGGCCTGACTTTCTGTAAACCGTGGGCCCTGGGATAGTGAGACCCAGCCCTAAGCCCAGCCCCTGCTGGGGTCCTGCACTGGGCAGGTGTGAATGAATGCATGGACGAATGAATGACATCTCTGGTGGCCTTCATCTTCCACAGCTATCCATGCACCGCCGACATCCCCAGCCCTCGGCGGAGCGCAGGCTGGCAGGATCTCCCCTGTCCAATGTTCCCACACATGCCTGACCTTCGCTAGGACCGTCAGGCGCCTTCTGTCCACAAACAACGAGGCTCCACCGCAGCTGAGCTAACAGAAAGAGGTAAGAACATAAAAACCATGCAACGCCCCTGCTCACAGCCGGTCCCAAGCCTGCACTGTTTACAGCAGGGCGGGTGCTCACGAGCGCCACACTAGCTGCAGTCCCTGGAAGGGAAACCAAGGAAGGAAGGAAGGAAGCAAGCAAGTAAGCAAGCAAGCAAGGAAGGCAGGATGGCAGGAAGGCAGGCAGGCAGGCAGGCAGGCAGG